TATTTATGTAGTCATGCCAGTACAGCGGTACATTCAGTGGGGTATGTGCCTATTTATGTAGTCATTGCCAGTACAGCGGTATATTCAGTAGGGTATGTGCCTATTTCTGTAGTCATGCCAGTACTGCGGTATATTTAATTGGGTATAGTCCAAATAAATTTATGACACGAATCTATTAAGATTTATAATACAGAACAGCTGCACATGATGCCTCTTGCCTCAATGACAATGACCATGTCACTGTGACTTACCTTGCTTTGGCATACAGATCACAGCAGCTTTCACATGGTCACTGTCACAGCCATACGTTTGTGACAACTCAAAAGAACAATCAATGAGCCTGGATTCCGTTCCTTCACATGACATCTCCCTGCTTGTAACATAAGCTCTTGAATAGTCACCATGGAAACTTGTCACTGTCAGTGCCTTGGGGAATCCTAGCTGCCCACAAACCACGGACCCAGCCTGTTGATTCCACTGGTCCCTGGACAGGCAAAGGATGCCCCACTTGTTGCGATCATAAACTTCTATAAGACCACTGTTGTCATGGAAACCACCAGTGAGCCGCAGAGAGAATGCTTGAAGGTAAAGCAAATGACAAGTCTTACATTCCTTAGAATATCCAAGTGTTTTGTGATTTATTGAGCTCTGGAAGAATAAAATTTAATTCACTGCTTCATATCTTGAGATAAAATTTGACTTTCTTCACCCTTTTTCCCCACCATGACTTTGTAGCTAGTACTGAAGCACAATTGGATTGAATTACTTCCTCAGTTGGTCCTTTACTAAAACAGATTAATGCTGTGGATATGTACGCTGGTAACTGAGACCCACTGATCATGTAGTTTTTGTCTACTGTCTTGGACAACGGATGGGCTCCTCTCCTATACCGACAGTCCTTTCTGTTACATAACAAAGTTAACCTACTGTATTTCTTTTGCTATTAAACTGGAATTTTCCTTTTGTTTGAGCCATCTTATAAGAATTCCTATAAAGTCTGTTTATTTGCTGCGTTAGTATCCACTACGGAATTTTGGAAGTTTATCTTTCTCAACTGGTGCTGGAGCCTCTTTGACTCTATGAAATTATCTGTCCTCACAGGTACCCATTTATGCCCGGTTGCAGACATTCTTTGCCAGACAAAGTAGTTAGGGGTGAAGTGACTTGCTCGAGGTCACATCATCATGTTGGGAATTTGGCCTGCGAATAAGGACTATCACCTGAATGCATCATACTCACCTGGATTTAGTTGGCAGTGCACAGCTGCCTTCACCTTAGGGAAATAAACACTGCCTCCACATTCAGAGCGTTGTTCTGTCCTCGGAGAACAGTCGCTCAGTCTCGTCTCATAACCCATACAAGACAAACTAGAGACCCAGGTTACCGCGTAACTCTCAGGTAATGTGCCAACAAAGTTTGTAGCAGTCACTGCTGATGGGTAGCCTAACTGACGGCAGATAACTGAAGCGACCTGCCGCGTCCACTGATTGCTCTCCATGCACAGCAATCCCCATTCCCCATCATAAAACACCTGTACAAGGCCACTATTGTCATACTCCCCACTGGTCAGTCGAACAGACAATGCTGGAGAGTAGAAAGCCCAAAAAAGTCAAGACAAAACAGTACTTTTACAAATGAGGAAAAAAGAAATTAAAAATGACAGTATTTTTAATGCAAGTTTACAGTGGATTGGATGTTGCTCCATAAGCCCACTAAATTATACAGCAAAGATTCTGCAATGGTTTCAGTCATCTCACTCAAACATGAGGCTTCTATACTTGACAAGATTGAGCTTGTTAAAATACAGTAGCACAACCATGGAAAGATTAAATGTGAAAAATAAATGTTCAGCTCCAGTTTCCAGTTTTAAACGAAATTCTCATAAGGTAGCAGTATATGACATTCTTTGAACATTGTTTTCTGCTTTACTTTTAGCTTAGAGGAAACAAGTTGCAGGTCAAATAGCCAATGAAAAACAATAGTTTAGCTCTAGAGTCGAAATGAAAATACTACAGCTGAAAATTGCACCGAGTATTTGGCAGCATCCACAGCCAGTTCCCATAGAATCATGCATAATATCAAGCCGCAGCCAACTGATTCGGACAAGGCCTTTGTGTTAAGATACATGAATGAAGTCATCTGTTAAGAATGCCCAACTGAAATGTATGGAGGCCTCGGGGAAATCCTTCACCGTACATATTACTCAATCCCACCCATCAAAAACACGTTAAAATTACAAGGTAGCAGAATTCCTGCCGATCAAGTAAGTTTTGAGGCTTTGGAAATTGTTAGATGCAAAATAAATGAATCCTTTTTTTTGCCAATGTGCAGGTCTATGGCGACGCGTGCGGTGACCAAAACCCAGACCCTTTTTTTTAGCCTAATGTTAAATGATCAACTTGCCACATAATTCAACAATGTCACTGAAAATCTTGTACAGGTTGCTCATGTTGTTGCAGTATAAACTTGTTCTCTGTATCTTCATTCTCTCTGTAACCTCTTTGATGGAAAAACCAAGTTTGGTTGGTCTGGCTGCAATCTTGTAAGTTCAAGGGATACAATGTAAGAGCCAATAACCCAGTTTACAATGTCTAATAATGATGTGAGCTTACGTGGTGGGGCAGAGAGCGTGGCTTGCATGCAGAACACACTCAGATAGATGAAGATACACAATCGGAACCATTCTACACTTGCTGTCTCCATACTGTAGGTTCATCACTAAAGGCCAATTAAACAGTAAAAGAAACGCTGGGTTTAGATTCACCTGTCAAGAATTCTCGTAAAACTAATTACGTGAATTTAATAAAATATTCCCCTTCCTTCCTTCCCTTTCTTTCTTTCTTTCTTTCCATCTTCCCTTACTCTAAAATCTATGCTGGCAATTAATGTTATCAAGCTTCGTGAAAAAATAAACCTAAAATTTCTCATGCTGACCAGTTGGAATTCGTGTACCAAAATACAATTACGATATCAAAACTACAAAATGTACATGTACGGTGACTACAAGCAATTTTATGAGTAAGAACTCCATTTGGTGGCACATGGAAGTGGGTGGATCAAGGAGGGGGGGTGGACAATGCAAGTTGCTTGATTGGAGTGATGAACAGTCATATTGTTTGCAAATGCACTCGATTCGGGTGGACTTCCAGCTCAAATTGCACTTGACTCATCAGCTTTACACAATAAATTTAAGAAAAAATTGAGAAACTTCCAAATACATGTACAAATTGAGAGTTTTTTACGAAGGGTGTGCAACTGAGCAAAATTTCCTCACAACATGAAGAGGACAAAGTTGGACCTAATCATGCCCAAACAAAAAAATTATCTTGCATACCCTAGTAGAGTTTCTTTTAGAGGGGATTAGTAAATACTAAAATGCAATTTTACAAGAGCCAAAGAAATCATAATAGCATGAATTAAATAGGTTGTTTGCTTCTTGTAATTAACACCACAAAATGTGTGACAGTACAACTTTAAGTTAGAAAAAAAATTATTTTGGAAAGTTAGAGGAAAGAGTTCTGAACAAAGACTTCACTTGACATCCTGTGTGGTGTACAAACCTGGCAGAGACTTTTCTAAAAAATTCATGTTTTTTCAAAGTAAAAACCTCAATATTTTCCATGCTAAATTTGACTTTTTAGAATATGTTATTGCTTTCTGATGGCTCATAAACCACTGCAAGGGGAAATCTATGTCTATGTCCATATATAAATGCTGAAAACTTGTCATTTTAAACAATGGATGGGTTCTATATGGACTACACAACACATTCTTTTAACATTTGGACATGATCCAAATCATAAATATTCGATTCATTTGTGGAGACCGACTATTCGGCCACTAGTCTACTACTACCTTTCTTACAGTGGCATATGGAGCTTTGGTGTCACTGGGGCAAAACTCCCAGAACGGGGTGAACATATGGGAGCAAGGCGGACGTCGGGCCCCACAGTTATGGGGGTAGGGGGCAAATTCAAAAGCAATGTAGGCCTACATATACTTTCGGCATGTTCGGGCTTATTCAACAATGTAAATAAAAGAGGGAGAAAAAATATATACATGTAGCCTATTTATCTGACGAACAAATGCACTGATAGTGATTACTTTCTTTCCTACACACCTATTAAGTATTGTCAGTTAAAAAAAATTAAAAACAACCGCCCCCCGCCCACTCCAACCCTACTGGATACGCCGCTGGTTCCGATGAATCTTTGGTCCCGACATGGAGGAAGGAAAACTTCCTCCATAGTCCCGACTACCGTTCCTGTAGTCGGAACAACGCTTGAAGGAAAGGAAATATACATACATGAAAAGCGAAATCAGGTGGTGACTGACGGAACTCGCACTCGCAGATTGAAATCTCACGTACTGATGGTTTCATCCATTTGCCAACTACAAACACCAGCTTTATTTTTTGGTACCTGACATCGCAGAGCTAGCTGGAGATACGATCGCCGCGGAGGCTCGAGGGAGCTGGGGTGCAGCGCGGGTCCCGTTCTTACTACGATTCGTGTTCTTACAGTATACAGGTACACTGTAGGATAGCGTGAACCAGTGTAGTAGGGCTGAACCACATGAACAATGAGCAAGGCACCGACAACAAGTGAAACGGCGGTGGCCTTGGCCTTCCTTCCTTTGCGACGAACAGTCGCGTAGTAGACGCGGGCGCTAGACGGAATTTCTCATGCGGAAGTCTGATCATGTGCTTACATATAAAGTACATGTACACATGCCAATACATTCACAACTTCCTGCCTATGCTACATCGTGGGATAAAAATACTCATCATTGAGTACGTGATGAAAACATACTTGAAAACATATAATTCAAAATTTGAAACAAAATACGGACGCAATATTTAATCCCGCTGCCGTGGTTGCCCAAGAGAAATACTTTCTGTCGAGGTGCTCTCCAAATTGTTAAATGGGAAACGGAAAATAATTAAAATATAAATACAAAAACTCATGAAAATAAAACCAATACTAAGGTAACATAACATCACATTAATACAATAATTTGAAATAATAAAGCAATGAATAAAACAAAATTTGAAAGTAAACTGAAATGGGGGTCTTAAATTACTTTCAGTGCACATATGAAAAAAACCTGTTCTGGCAATAGGCTGTTTCCCAATAATAGTGTGCCACCAAGAGTTTACAATGCGTTGGCCAATCACAATGCGCGAAATTTGTCGACCCAATGCGCGTTTGGAAAGGGTCGACAAATTTCGAGCGTGATTGGCCAACGTGTTGTAAACTCTTGGTGGCGCACTATTGTGAATCGCCCGTATTAGGCAGTGGAAAACAATGGAAAACAAAATACACGTAGGCCTGCATAGAGCCTTCAAAAAAATTGGATGACCTTGCAGGATTGAAGCCGGATTTTCCGGCAACAAAGCATGGATGATAGGACCCTGGTTAAAGAGGTGTTCATATAAAGAGTGAAAAAAAGTATTTAGGGGAGGGTTCCAGACAGAGGTCTCGGAGATCATGGGGAAGCGAATAAAACAATCTCGGAAAGAGGGTAAAGAAAGAAAATTCCATTCGGCAGTATTAATGTTTGAAGAGCAGGGTGTCTGTCTTCGTTGTGTTAGGCCGGTGTGGGAGAAAATGTGATGGGATGTTAATATGTTTGAAAAGGTATTTGATGACGACGGAAACACTTAAGAAGACAAGTCTGTTGTAGGGGGGTAGACAAGCGAAGTTGGTAATAGAGGGAGGTAGCAAGATTGTAAGGAAGGCAAGATTTTGTGAAGCGTCGTTGAACTGCCTCAATGCATTCGATGTGGTTTTTCTCATGTGGTTTCCAAACCGTCTCTGCTGATCCATAATTCAAGAACAGGCCTTGAAAAAGTTTCAAGAAAACTGCTGTATTTATGGACTTCACAGTGCGTCGAATGAAACCAGCAAGTTTGGAACATTTTGAACTAATCTCCGTTGAGTTTCTATAGTGCTATGCAGATGCCACTCATTTTCTTGTGGTTCCCCCTTGATAACGTGTGTGCCTCCCCCCGGGGGGTTCCCCCAAACAGGGCCTAATGTACGCCACTGTCAAGTTGAACTTGTTGCGACCCAGGTAGCAAGCCAACGTTCGAGTGCTCCAACCGTGGAGGGCTGTTTTCCTTCTTCCATGATCCAAAGTTGGAAACTCGCAACTGACTCGCGTCGTTGGATAATCGGTTCAAAGTTGGAGCAATGTTGGACCCCTGAGTTGGTATCGCACGTGTCTCCAAAGTTGTCTCGAAGTTCAAGTTATTTATATCTTGACAGTCTTGATAAGATCCCCGCACCCTTCATTGTTCCAGTGTTATGAGTCCAAGCACTTTTGCTTTCAATCCAGTCCGGAAGAACACGATCAAAAATGAAATCGCAAAGGGTCAGTATCCAAAAGCATTGAAGGGTCCATTGAGTCCGTCACTAAAAAGTTGGATATCGGCCGGACACGGTTATTTCTCATTGTGCAATGTTGTCGAGCCTGAGACCCATGGACGAACTTGAAGGAAAAGAAACACATCGATTTCTTTGAAAAAGGACAAAGACGACAACTAATCACCAACACTGACCCTCGAGTAATCTTTTAACACTTGAATCGCTTGGACCGTCGGGCAACAGCGAAGGACCGCGAATTAAGTTGCTCCTCATCCCATGGTGATCACATTTGTCCATCAGCTCGTCATTATTACTGACGGTTGGTTCACCTGAAACTGGAAAGAAAATTCCCTCGGGAAATTCGTTATCATTCTGTCATATAGCAGGGCCTGAAAATAATAATTAGGATGAATTTTTAGAAGTTTAAACAAATTGAAGATTTTCAGAAGTATACATTTCTCGTAAGGTGAAAATGATGCCTTGCCGATTTTACAGGAATAACTTTCCTCATTGATCTTCGAAATACTACCGAAAGTAATTTTTCAGCCCCTGAAAGTGGCCCAAAATGGCCCGCGAAACACACAGGAGTTGGTGGCGTATGAGTAGTGCCCCAGGGTTTTTCAGCCCAAATATTAGTGAGAGGCAGTAAAAACTAGCTGTGCGAGGGCGCTCTTCAACAGAAATCACACAACCATTGATCACTGACGTCTTGGGCCAAGACTAGTGAGAGGCCGGCTAATGATGGGCCCAACTGGTACGAAATTACGTCAGGTAGAAGCTGATTATTCGTGGATTTGCACATGTGTGTTTGCATCACTTTGGTAGGAATTACTTTGTGATTGTATAAACCAGCCTAATGCAAAAAGTGTGGTCACATTTTCTGAGACGACATGGTCACTTCGGCGATGGAATCTCGCTTCATAGATGAAGTAAGTTTTTAGCGCACTTGAATGTCGCATAGCGCACCAAATAAGGTAATCTGCAGTGAGAGTGCACGTTCTAGTATTATTTGCGCATTCGGTGTACTTCACTTTGTCATGTTTGTCGTTGTCATAAATTTCATTGATAGAATAAGGTTATAAAAGAATTAAGTGAGAGTTTTTTTTACCAATGGCCACATTGTACTAAGTTTCTTAAATTTCTGATCTATTTTCTTAAGCTTATTTATTTTGTCAATTTCTATGTACCAACTTCTCTAGTCTTAATTAACGGATTAATGTAATGTTTTTGAAAGAGTATGCAATAAACGTTTTCTCGAATTGAATTGAATTGGTACACTGTGTACACTGTACACCATGGAGGAATAAGAACACACTTGCATGCTCTGTCATGTCTGTCAAACTGTGGACATGATGGAGGAATCTTAGGGAGGTCAAACCGATCAAACTTTTAGCCAATTTGCAGAATCATAATAGGACCTACATTGTATTTGTCATCATAAAGGCAGACTCCACTTAATCTTCATAATTTAGGCCTACATGACCCAATGTAGCACATGATTAGGCTAATCACTGAATCAGATTGACAAATTATTTAAAACATTTCAGCGTCCAGCATGTCCGATCCAGGGGACATTTTCATAAAGTCCACTTGCTTGATCATATTCCAAATCAAATGATCCTGTTATAGTATTCTCCAAGTTCCTGAATTTTAAGGATCTTGGAAGATTAGGTGAACTAATGTGAACTCCCTTTGTCAAGTACTAAGCGCCTTTGTTTGATCACTGGAAATGTCATGTATGTGTACACAAATACAGTACAAACACTATACAAACACATCGGCTGCCTACCTTACCAAACATGTTTTGTGGACAGTGTGCTAATTATTAAAGCCTGTATTAGTGTGTTTATCCCAGTGCTCTCCCATTTGTCGTTGAATGGTGATCATTGACCTGTAATATAGCAGATGTCATCATGGAAAGCCATTACATTGATTACGGTTACTAGATTGATGAGATAACGCCTTGTTATATCCACTTCTGTATTTTGTTTTTTCTTCCTTTCTTTAACAGATTTGAAGGGCAAATGACAAACTTGGGTTTCTGGGTGTAATGGATTTGGAGGGACAATGGAGCGATCTGCCCGATCACATTATTATCAACATCCTGAGTTACTTGTCCTTGGCAGATCGCTGTTCAGCTGCCCTCACATGCAAGAGCTGGTCTGAGTGCTTTGATGACCAAACTCTGTGGCGTAGGTTCACCTTCCACTTCAAGACCGAAGAGGACTCCAACCAACTCCAGTGCCTGGCCAAGCATGGCCGACAGCTACGAATGGTGACGATCTACCTGAACCAGCAGGAGCTGGTGAACCGGCAGAATGCCTGTGAAGTGCTTACGGGACTTGCCCGCTGTGATGAACGTCGTCTTGAGGAGATCAGTGTCACCTTCACAATGGAAAATCCCCTGTTCTTCCAGGGTTTAGAGTTTCTAAGCAGCCTGGCAGAGCTCTTTGGTCCACCAGATCCTCGCGCAAAGATGGTTGCAACTCTGACCAAGGTGGACCTAAGTGGTCTGTCTGTCACGTACCGAGATGTCTTGCTGTATCTACTAGCCGACAACCACCCTACCCTTCAGGAGCTAAACCTTCAAAACACCTCCCTCATGTGCTTCATCAGTCCTGAGTGCATGCACACAGTTGTTAAGAAGTGTCCCAAGATCAACTCGCTCAGCATCCACTATCGGTCGGCATCAGAGGAACTCTTTACTGAGTTCAGTAGTTCCATGCGACTTCCTCTTTATTACCTCTCCTTGGCTTGCAACAGGGAGGAGAAGTACCACAAGGTGATTCCGGCTGAATCCTGGACAAGTCTGGTCAGTAGGCATAAGCGTTTACGGGTCTGCTTGAAGTTTGACCACACCATCGAGCGACACCGCATTCTCACCATCTTGGACCCTCAGATCCCGTTGGTTGAGCTCCACATGAGGACCATGACAGAATTGCAAGATGAGGTCTCCACGGTGGCGCGGTATTATCACAGCACCTTGGAGTACTTGGCAATCGTCACGAAGGGTACCGAGGAACTCAAGCGTGCGTTACTGGACGTCGTCAAGCACTCCCAAAGGCTTCATACTCTCCACTGCTACTGTGCCTTGGATGAAGAGACCATCGACAAGATTCACACACTGCGACCCCAGCTGAAGAAGTACACTCTCAAGACGGCTGAGGAGTTCAACTCTCTTGTCCCGACCCTGGTAGGCCACTCTGCCCGCAGTGCAGTCATGTGATCATAGTTTATACACGTAGGTTCACTTTTCTGTACCTAAGAAAAAGCTGTGTACCACAGTATCTGTCGGCGTTTCGGTATGGTTAGGTCAAATATCACAACCATATACTTGTTTAAAACTGCTACAATACATTAGTTTTCAAAGCAACATTTGCAATCAGATCAAAGTATTCTGGAGAGAAGTGACTTGTTTTGAACTTTAAGTTCTAATGATGTGTGGAGTATTTGTTAAGTGATACCGGTACGTGTAAGTGACAGGAATCTACAAATTTATAGGGGCATGTACCAAATTCTAAAAGATTTTAATTATTTTCAACTGATCTCGTAAACTTGTTTAAATTGTGTTTCCCAAATAATTATTTTTTGACCAAAAAAAAACAAGTTGTGTTGCCTATCTTACCTCTTCCAAATTGGCCCTCAGCAGAATCACATTCTATCTGTTAACCAAAAAATATTTGTGATTTTGATAGTGTGTCATGTGTTCTGTTACAGTTGGGAAATGTCCGTTGGTGTAAGATCAGACATAATTTTTAATAGAGAACACTGGTGGCAGAAGTGGGAGCCAGTGGCTCCCCCCTTCCAACTATTTTTAAACTGGGGAGCATGCCTTCCCAACAGTTCCTATACTGGGATGGGGCTTAATGGATTGGCTTATTAATGCCTGATGGTCTCACAACTGTCTCCCTGCCCTCCCTCATCCGTCCCCCCCCCCTTTGAAAATCACTTCGCTGCTGTTGATAGAGAAACTACCATTTATGTGTAGCGTTGTGGTCTTCATTCTTCAGACAGATTTGAAGGAATGCTTGGAAAGTTTATCAAGCAAGTGGATGGCTTCAGGACGAGCAAGGTATCCGGAACCACCACTATAGCGTGTGTACATGGGGCAACCAATCCAACAAAGATACATGTACATGCAGGATTGTAGCTTTGCCAGCCAGCACTAGCCGGCCTTCTGAATCCAAATCCAAAGCTTGCCCGTCAAACACATCGTGCTGCATGACAAGGCAGTTTTCACTGTACTGTATGTATACATACATGTACATACAGTAGATTTACTGGATTTCATATGCTGCTCATTAATGCAACTGATCCCACGCCGCCTGCACCATCCGGCATGGTGTTAACAACCCTGCACCATCTGGCATGGTGTTAACAACCCTGCACCATCCGGCATGGTGTTAGCAACCCTGCACCATCCGGCATGGTGTTAGCAGCCCTGCACCATCCGGCATGGTATTAACAACCCTGCACCATCCGGCATGGTGTTAACAACCCAGCGTCATCCGGCACGGTGTTAACAACTCGCATATATGTGTACCATGCACACAATTAACCTACATGTATGTTAATACCAGAGGCCAATTGAACAGAACTGGACCCAATTTCATCCAACTAGCTCAGCAGAATGTAGTACTAAGCAAAGCACAGTCAGAGACCGGTCACAAGAGTGCATGGCATATTAACTTCACTGATATCTTAGCAACTTCTTTAGATGAAATTGACCCCCTGCTAAGAACAAATATTTGCTGCTTTGCAAAGCAAGTTACCAGCCAGAATGCCATTCAACATGCATTTCTTTTGACTAGTTCCCAGCTAATTCTTTGCTACGAGTGATAGCCTGAGTTTGTTGATATTTACCCTTTACAAACTGTGGCAACCAGCCTTTGCAACCCTGCACTTTTCAAGAAACTTTGTTTCAGTTTATGCAGAAGAAGGAACCCCAAAATGCGAAACTTGTAGGGGTAAACTTTTTTCGAGCATAATGAGCAAAGGGACAAAGGACATGTCCAGAAATCTGAAAACAGACTGTCTGGTTACTCCCAGTGGAATGCAAAAAGTTCTTAGAAGTGACCTGTACTTCAAGGGCAAAAAATGAAGATTTGTGCGAGACTAAATGATACCTATTTGTACACAGCCCAGTAGAAGGAATTCTGAATATTGTTGATGTAGATACTAACAAATGATTTGACAAACCACACAGGTTTTTGTTTTGTTTTAGCTTTTATTTAAAGAGGTCCCTTTCTAATTTCTCATTCAATATATTTTAAGCAAAAATATTGTCAAGCAAAAAATTTGCCCCAAATAAATCTCTTGCTTGTCAATCATTTTCTTGGTAAGCTGCATGGATGGGTGATAATGCCAGACCTACATGTATTTATAAGAGGCATATTAATGATGTTTTTTATAAAACCTTTTTATAAATTATTCTTAGTAATATTACAGAATTAAATTGCAAGAAACAGAATTTTAGCCAAACATTGTTGTTTAAAACAGTTGAAATATTTGAATACTGTGTATTACTCCACTAGGACAGGAAGTGTCATGGGATCGATTAATGTGAAAATAATAGGAAAATAATTTCATTTAAACATTTTGAGCCAGATTACCCTACCAAAACGGAAAATTGTATAATTAGTAGTGGTACTGTACCATGCTAGTTCCTTCAGAATGTGGAACTTAAGCATGGGAATAATTCAGAACTATATTTGGCTCAAACCGATCAAAGAATAACTGTTTTGTCAAAGTCCTGATGTGAGGAAAATAAATGTACATGTATCATAGGCTAAGGATTAACAGATATATGTATCTACATGTACAGTCCATGCACATGTGCATGGTCAAATGTATGACTAGCATTTAAACTCCACTGATGTGAATAGAGAGTTTGAATCCTGCCTGCTAGGCAATCTTGCATGTAGCTTTTCAATTTATTTAACCAGTGGGCATTAACCAAATACATATGCAGATAGAAATGTTATAAAAGCACAAAGACCGATAATCTGACAATTTGAATGAACTTAACAGTAAGGCCTACAGGACCTGCAATTGTGTCAGTGATTTTAACTAATAGATTTAATAATCAATAGAAATCAGTCAAACTCCAAATGAATTTAAGTTGTATAAGACCAGGTGGTACAGGTACATTTCATTAAAGTGTTTGAAACTATTTCTGGTGCATTGAATGAAAGCGGCTCTTAATTCCTACCTTCCCAGCCTTGGCATACTTAGGTGCTGGTTGCTAACACTTATGTCTTCCAACCTTGACTTCCAAATATTTTCATTGGTACCTGTGGCTTTAATTTGCTGCTGCATGTTTCTCAGGCTTCTAATTGTCTTCCATTATCTTCATGAATGATTTTTTTAACGCTGTTAACTTTTGGTCTGGTGGTGCACTTTGAATTTCATTTATTGGCAAGATGACCTCTCAAAATCTGCCCTTCACTATCAAGTCAAAGCAAAAGTGCTGTGCTATCATTTGCCCACCGATGATTGGTGGTTCATGCTCTTACTTTAAGTCTAATTGAGGTGTGGCAGACACTGTAGAGGGCGCTGTTTGGTTTCCCACTTCAAATAGCGCCCTCCTGCTCGTAGTGTCTCCACCATACTTCACAAAGGCTAATGGTTGACAAATGAGTTCGCCAACATCATTGTAATGCATGTTACCGGTTGGAAGAGCAAGGTTTAAAATACATTTCCACCCTCCCAAACAACTTCCCCTTGCAATCCATTTCAAAGCTGATCATTAACCTCTTCTTACATGTATATTGTAAACCAGGAACATTTATTGCATAACTCTGGTCACAGTTCAGTGTCATAACCAATGACGGTCACTCAGTTGATGATCTCTCTCAATATGTTATAAAAGCCGCCATATGTGATATCAGGTCATGTCAAAAATCTGCTTTGTTGAGCTATGGCTTCTGTTTCCATTGGCAACAAATCCCATCTCCAACATGGCATGGATTAAACATTCATGGAAAATAATGTGTCTGTTATCAGTTAAGGACCTTTTTTGCATTGCATCAAACAATCAAACACACACACATGTTGTGTGTGTTCTGCTTTGTTCATTGCATGTGTGCAATTGGTGTTCATGTTCAAAGGAATTTCTTTTTTCGAAATTGTTATCGTTTCTTTTCTGAAATGCAATACTTTTCTGTTGTTAGGTATATAATTTCTTGAAGTTCATTATTGCAATTTTTAAGTAGACAAAGGTGCCAGAACTAGACCTGTCTTTTTTGTTGTCATGGTAGCATTTGAGAACTGAACCCATCTGTCAACGATAACTCATAAAGGTGTTGCTTGTTCAGTGTTATAACAGCTTGAATTAGGACTGGATGTGAATTTATGCCAAGTGATTTTTCCTTTTTGTATATTTGGTAAATGTTTGTATTTTATCATTTAGTTTACCATTATTTAATTGTTAAAATAAATATTTTTTATTGAAATTCAGCAACAGTAAATTAAACATACAAACATTATGTTTGTTTCTAACTGGCAGTTTGGGATTTTTCAAAGTATCACATTGTTTAAAAAAGTTTTAGTTGTCCGTGTTAGCTAAACTAATAATACATAGTGCAATGAAAAAGTAGCTCTAAACATCAGTCTTAAGTCAATGCTTTCCTGAGCACCAGTCTGCTATACAGAGGCCTATGCAAATAAAGCAATAGCTTTTTATAATAATGCCTGGCTCCTTTGTATCTATAAAATGTTCCTTTTGTTCTTGTTTGTTTTAGGATGGCTTACATGTTTGAACCCCTTTCTATTTGCAAATCCTAAAACTTGAGGCAACCGGGGAATAGGTAATATCGCCCTCTCTCGATCTAAACTTTTTGGAGTGTTCAATAAACTAATTAATAGGTGTTTGCTTAAATTACATGCACGTAACTCTTTTTATCCGCCACTGGGTAGACATCATGGAGTATCAGTGACTCGTTGATCATGCTTCGTTATTGTAAGATAAAATATATTTTGTGTCAATACATGAAAACAATTACACTTTGAATATTTAAATGTTTGTGTCCCCTCGCTATCTATAAATTGACCTCCCCTTACAAGAATGGTCCTGCCGAGGGCGGTTTTGTCGTGTCTGGCTCCTTGACCTCATCGGCAAAAAAGTAGAAAAAGTCGGACAACTGTGATGCACCAGACTTAGTAGAAGTTCCAGCTGCGTTCCAGTTCCGTGTGTGGGGAGGACGAAAACGGTAAGTAAAAACATAAGCTAATGAACATTTTCGGGTCCTTAAACATGTTAAAATTCTAGGAAATGAACTCACTGTAAATAAATACCCTTTGTTGTGATTTGTTACATTTTAGTCATTTTCATGTATTAATATCGGGAGACGTTCTCGTTCGTTACGACGGTTTAGTGTCAGACTCACTCAGTGCATAGGCTCCGAGTCCATTTTGCGTGAGATTGAGAGCGTGGAGTTAGCGCCTCTCTTAGCAAGCTTGGTGAGACTGAGACTCGTTGTAAGTTCTATTCTAACGTATTAGAACACTGTTCATTCACCCAGTTTGCTAGGAGACTAGTTGGTGGTGCGATAGGTCGGAAGACGGCAGAAAGATGATTTTTTTTTGTTACCTCTTTTTAGGTTTGACATTATTTCAGCCAGACCTCCACTCAGAAATACTTCACACTTTTGTTGGATTAAAAAAAAAATTTATGGCAAAAGTTCAGGACAATTATTCATCAGTGTCAGACACTAATTTTGTATGACAGACGTCATGAATTTTGTGTTGTGGTAGCATGTCCTAAAAAGTCAAGTGTAGCAGGGAAAATATTGAAGCATTTACTTAAACAGAATTTTTCAGACCAGTCTCATAGGGTTTGTGCACAGGATGGCAAATCACTCAAGTGGTGTCTGTGTATAAACTCTCCCCAATGTTTTTTTTTTGGGGGGGGTCACTGTAGTATGCCAGAGATGATGACAAGTAAATTTTATTTTCATTTAGGCATCGGATGCCAATGTCATATACTTGAAGAATCAGGCATGTTGAAATGAGAATAAGTAACAGTTTTAGAGGTGGGAGGAAAACCGCAGAGGAATCTTCTGGGTAAAACCCACAGAGTCAGGTAGGGACTGAAAACCCAATCCACGTGTGAACTGAGCCTGGAATTAAACCCAGACCGCAGAGTTGGAAGGTGAGGAAAGAACCACTACACCAACCTGACTCCCAAAGATTGAGACCTTGTGCAGTTTTGGACTTTACTTCCCTTCAGAGCCATATTGATAAGTCACTAAATGTCAGATTTAACTTCTTAAAATAAAGGTTAATACTGCATTTTTGTTGAAGAAAATGGGAAAGGGTTCCTCATACATACATGTACAGGTACAGATGCAACTTAACTCCTTGTGCACAAATCCTATGAGATTGGTCTGAAAAATTCAGTGGTTTCTATGTGAATACCTCAATATTTTCCCTGCTAAATTTGACATTTTAGATAATGTTATTGATTTTAAACGGCTAATAGGTAACTGAACAGAAAGATAAGTGGCATCCCACCATCTGTATATAAAATTATTTTCAACAAAGTCACAGAGGGATGCATTGCAAGGATTAGAGCCTCTATGCTCAGCCACTAGAAAATGGGAAATTTACGTACCGTTAGCTTGAATTGTATGGTCTTGGCCTACTCCCTGAGACACTTTCTGTAATCTCAGCTTCACAGAAAAATGTTTACTCTATTCATTTCACCTTTACAATTTTTAGATAATTCTACTGTGACATGATGCTGCCTCATCCGCATTAGTTACCCACTCAGCAGATTTCACTCAACTGAACTGCCTAAGTTTTGTGGACAATCAAATTGAATATACAGGCGTGCATTTTAGGCTAGCCAAAACCGCTAGGCAAAATGTTCAGGCATCCCCCAAAATGTCCTATACAGGTATTTGTTGTCTTTGGACAACTGGACTCTAATACATGTACTTTTAAAAGCATTTAAGGGAATTCTTGCGAACTTCTTCCAGAATTCAAGGTTCCCAAGAGCCTTATGTATGGACAAGCACTGGTAGGTACAGTGTGTCCTGTGTGATAGGTTTAGCATTACAGTCTTTTTGCAATCAAAAATATTTGAGCCACCGTGAATGTCTCACTAATCTTTGGATGTCTGGGGACAGCTGCTAAGGTCAAGTCAAATTATTTTTCAGGTTTCACTTTCACCCTCCCAGATGCCGGTATTCAGGTCTGGTCAGATTTTTCATGTTGAAAATTTTGTGCTGAGAGTACTTTTTTATTCTCTCTTATAAGTACATTTTTCTGGGCAAAATGTGTCACCATATCCATTGGCACAGTTCTACTGACTTCTAAGCAAATAGTAAAACAATTTTGATGCTGTGCACAGACTTCTTGAATGTGTACAAATACACAGTTTGCTAATGTACACGTGGCGCTTGTAGAGTCAATTTCACCTCAATCTGACATGGCTCCCGACAAATGATGATGTCTCACATACACGTATTAGCATAATAAATCAGTGCAGCTCGTTAAGCTGACAAGAAAAATGATATGCTGTAAAGTAGCTGATTGATATTTAATATTTTAATGGATTTCATGTTTGTTGTGCCCCCCTCTTCTCAGTCTAGTAACATGTTCTAAATAATTTAGTTCCTGAATTCATGTTTGATATATAAAGAAGTGGAAAAACCCACGCAGATGTAAGTTACCCTCACCACCCTTGATTCTAATCAGAATGATGATAACCTAATACTGAATTTCAACTGGCCAAGGCTCCATTTTGGATGCCGTTTACATCCAGCATAGAGTGCACGCACGTCCAATTTTCCCAGCATGGGTCATGTTACATGTACCTACGAAATGCAAGATATAAGGACAGCAGTTATAATTCTGAACATAAATGTAACCTACAGGTGCGCCTTATTTGATGTGATTCCCACAGCGTCATTGTACTGTCACTATGACTCTAGACTAGCTCATAGCCAAGTGCAGCAGACAGAGTAATGATATCATTATTCAATGTACATGTACATCGGTCCTGCCGATGTCATGGGCAGATTACTTCACAAATTCTATGACACAAATCTTACGTGATATCATCGTTGCACGCTCCTTTATTTATACCAGTTCACTCAGCGTGTAGAAACTGAACTTGACTCTAAATGATGCAACATTCGTCTATCATAAATGCCAGATTGAAAGCTGACGGTGGTGAAGAATTTTTTTAACTTTAATATTGACACTGTTCACTCTCTGTATGTCATGTTTTGAAATTTAAGAAGAGAAAGTAGAAATTGGGATATGTTTTTCTGAGATTCATAACACACCAAGAATTACATGACCCTAGACCAACATGCATATGTACATTGTGTGGGAAGGATGATATATGCATTAATGACTGGGGGATCTTTTGCAGGTCATCCATAAATGACCTGTACTCAAGGCGTGCAAGAATTTATTAAAACTTTCCTAAATTGTGAACCAAAACAACACCTTGGGCTGAGGTGACTCACATTCAGGGAGGTGATGATCCATGCAAACCCAGCCATCCACCTGTGATCTCTGCTTGCCATGCATGCCAGCTGTTGTCACTGTATTTATCATGTACATGTACATGTACATCATGTGTGCTGATAAGGTCCCCAGGTACATGAACATGTACACTGTACAGAGGTGGGATGTGTTAACAACAGGTGGACAAACAATGCCTTATGCAGAGGTACATGTACCTAATTAAGTGTGAAATTTAATTGGTAAATAACTGCCTTGATCTCATGTTTCAGGAATGATAAGTCCTCCTGATGGTCAACCCCCCCCCTTGAGAAATTTTTGAAAGTACCAGTAGTACAGTGTACCAGTAATTCCTGGAAAAATCAGAACAATATTTGTTTTTCTGACTACTCACTGTCCGGACTACACTTGCGTCATGAAAAAGTAAGAAGCAGGGATGAATTTCCTATTTCCATTTCCAGTGATTTGGCCCACTGCTTTTTGTGCCATTTGTCCCCTGAAGTGTTTAAAATACATGTACCATGAACGACATACAGCACATGTGTCATCAACAGTTTTAACAAATTTTGCAGTGTACATTTACCGGTACGGTGCATGTACATGTAGGCCTACACTTGTATGCAACTATCAGATTAACTATTCAAACTAGAAAATGTGTTGCAATATTTATCAAGATACAGAATTTGTGGGGGGTAGGGATATTTTCAGCAGTCAGGCTATGATTTTATTGAATTGAAAACATCCTGGCACACGGAAATTACATGTAGTTCATTTCATTTACAGGAAATGTAGTTTGCATAAGCAGCAGAGTTAATAGAAGGATCAAAGTGAAAACCTAAGGATCCTTTGCCAATGGGGGAGGGAGGGACTAGGACCCTTCCTAGATGTGGTGAAATTCAGCACTGTACCTACTGCTTATGCACGTCAATGATTTTTCCATTTGTGGGTGTTGGTTTTCTTTGTGTATTTTATGTGTTTGTTTTACAGTTTTTAAATTTCTTGTTCTCTTACTTGTGTTTTTTGTGTTAGTGTGTTTGTTTTTTCTTTTCTGTTTTCTTATGGTTATGCCTTAGTGTTATGGCATTGCAGTTATGGATTCATTGTTCAGTAATGTACATAAGTTCATTGCATGTTCATGCACATTAACAGTATGCATTGGATTTGTTGAGACAGATTTGGGCGTGTCCTACTCTGTAATTGTGCATATACGTGTATACATGTACATTTATGGTACATGTACCATACTGTAGGCCTGCTTACATGTGCATGTATGTACATCGATAGCATGATTGAACTAAACGGGGAAGCACATCCATTTTGTTATGAATTGCACTTTCGCTTTCTTAACAATTCAGACCACAGACATTGAGTATACAAGTAGACCTCGGACACCATAGGCCAAATCCTTTGTAGTATTGTTAAGCCAAAGGCAAGGTACGTGTACGTGTACATGTACATGCAGTTGGTGTAAACCTTCAAGGGCTTGCCTTCACCTTTTCTTTATGTGTATTGGTCTGCAAGGATACAAGAGAAAAGTTGTCATGCCCCACTGATCAGCCATAAAAAACTGCTCAGCTGTTGGGTGCAGTAAGGCAAAACTGAATAGGAAGAAAATATAACGTGGTTAGATCCAGAAAATTGAATTCTGTTCTCACAGTGATGGAATTATACGCACCAAAAAGTTGTGTTCCTTCTGTCTTTCCCACTTTGTTCTCAATGTCGAACTCCAAATTTTGGATGGAAGCTGTTGTAATGTTTTAAATTGATTACAGGTATGGAAGAATTTTTTTCCTTTCAAATTTAGCTTCAGATCTTCAAAGCCATGAACATTTGTGACTTTAGTCTTTGTGGAAGTAGAGAGGCCATGATTGGGCTCGTGTGTCCATGAACTGTGGATGTTCACATTGTACATACATGTGTGCAGCCAGTGGCACACTGGAAAAGTGACTTGCTTGTTTTTCGTACACTGCAGTTCATGGTTTTTTTGTCAATTTGGTGGTAATAAATGCAAAGTTTTCCTAGTCTTTTATTTTACAGTATCAAATGGTGCATTTTGATATTGACAATTACATGTACATGTACTGTGCATATGCACCTGTACCATACAAATGCCATAATGTTGTGTACACTATGTATATGTACAGTATTTCAGAGATCAGTTTGTTACATGTACCGGTAACTGCTCCGTCAAGTTACTTTATTGAGTGGTAACATTTGCTGATGAATCATGGACAGGTACCGGGTATGGAGCTGAACCTCATGTACATGTACTCACAGACCAATTAGTAAAATGGAGAACCTGTTAGTAAATTACATCATTTTACCAAAATTATCAGGTTGCTATATGTACATGTACAGGTACATGTACGTGAATATTGGGTTGCCATTTGAGTCAGTCTGAATTATTCAACTGTTCTTGTCCTGGCAGTGTGCTTTTACTGTTTTTTGTTTTGGCTATTTCCAGATCGTAGCCGGTACCTTGTCTGGTATGTTTTCTGTGTTCACATTCATGTACTGTACGTTGTGCCCTTGACTGTTTTATTTGTTCACAACTCAAAAGAACCGGTGCACCGTGATGGTGTTCTCAATTCAGGATGCCATTTTAGAGACCTCTGACTCATTAAGCAACCACTGGTCATCTAGTAAAGATAGTCATTTGTTCTCAAGACAAGTTAATGGACCAAGGAGATGGAATACAAGGGTCAAGTTGTATGTTGTAATGGATAAAGTCTACATGTTTATGAGGAAGCTCCCAATATTGACAGTTGCTACATCACTTTCAGAATGAGTTTGCATTCGGGCAATTATATACCGGTAACAAGAAATGTGCGTTTAGGCCTGGGTAAGACATGTTTGTAAATTGCTTGTTTTAGGAAGTACATGCACTTCAGTCTCCTGAAGTCGGACAGAGTACACTGTTCNCAGTCTGACATCATTAATAATGCACATTGGGTAGCATGTAAGCATACATGTATGTACATGCACTGTAAGTAAGTTGCAATTCGGCCGTTTCAGAATAGGGCGCCTCCAGGATTTTGCAATGCATTGGCCAATCACAATGCTAGAAATTTGTCGACCTTTTCTAAACGCGCATTAGGTCGACAACTTTCGCGCATTGAGATTGGCCAACACGTTGCAAACTCTTGGAGGCGCCCTATTGTGAAACGGCCGTATTATTACTACCTTCATCTGTATGGACTACATGTACATGTACATGTAGGTTTTGGCATGATATAAATGTTGTTTTAATAACTTTTAAACTTGTACATAATAAGGGTGCTGCCTTCCCTACAATGGCCCTCTTAATTCTAGTCTACGGTGCGTGTACTTGTACTGACCTCTAACATACTAGATCTGTACCTACATGACTCAGGCCCCACATGGTGCTGCATGTGCTCTGGCTTACTGTGATTGGCATTTAAAACATCTGAATGCTTTATTTAGAATTTGACCAAATCTGGTATTATCTGGTACCGGCATTATGGGTATTTACATAGAGGAGACAGCGGATAGACAGACAGCTTTATTTGAGAAGCAAACGGTTTCAAGGAAAAAAGAAACTAAATTACTGATAAGATTTTTGTGTATGGCACTGTTTTATAATAACTCAAATGCTACATGTAAGTGTACAAATGTGCACATGCACATGTAAGTGTACACATGTACGTGCACACGCACCATTCAAGAATGAACTCTGATCATTACACACAATAATTCTTTGGGGGTGTACTGTATTTCATATCTTTTCCAGGTTGATTTCTTGGTCAGTTCTCCAGATTATTTTTTTTGGGGGGGAGGGGAGTCATGTTTATTGTTCTGCGTTAGATCAGGTGCAAGTGTACATGTAGTTACAAGAACTTTGAATTTGGAGAATTTAAAAAGTCCATCTATGAAGCTTATGTAATGACAGCCTAGTCGTATTTTGACTTTTATTTGTGAAGAGATGAAGCTTCCTTAGCTTTTACCAACGAAACCTGATACAAATATAAACACAGGTGCATAACAGGAAAAACTCACAGGTCATTGTCTGCTGTGAAACCCCAAACTAAAAAGCAGAAATAAACTTGTCATCATTCCTGGTAGATCTGAAAAACTTGTTCACTTTCAAATTCATCAAGTTTACTACAGTACTTGTACATGAACAGCAGCTTCTATGCTTGGTTAAGTTCAACATTGATATAGATTTTCCCAGCCAAGTTAGGAAAATGCACAATTCAATTTAGCATAAACCTGGTTTCATTTTTGCAATGACGAGCATTCAACGTAATTTTGCATCCTTCAAATAAATCAATGTGCATTACGTTTCATTTAAGTGGTTACAAATATGGGATTTCGGTTTGAAGTACCGGTATTTGTTGCCAATTATAACAAATGTACATTTTTATTCACCAAAATATGTCTTTTACTGTGACTCTTCGGAATTGAGCTTTCATTTTCATTTTCTGTGATTCAAATTTGCAAAAGTAAACGTTCAGTTTGATCATACGTTATGCTAATCATGACACCACATTGATAACAAATGTAATGTTACTCATGAAGGATTACAAACTGTACACAAATTAAGGTCTCTATGGTTTTTCTGTATCTCCCCTTTCAACCATTGCAAGAAGGTACATGTGTGAACTTTAACTTCGCTGTATGAGGTGATTGTGGCAAAAACGTAACACAAGAAGGAAGGTTCCCTCAGCCTCGGTGTTTTAAATATGATTCATACAATAGTCAGTATGTTTCCAAAGACGACATGAGTGATTTATTTATTAATGACTATTGAAACATTTAACCCATCAACTAAACACTTCTAGGAATATACATGTACCGTAACTTCTGTTAGCACATAAACAAAATTCCAATTCTTGACCAGGCATACCTTAAATAACACACAGGTGAAATAGCCTGCATATGTTTTTTTCAAAGTACATGTAGATTGAATTCAAATCAAGATGATTGTAGGATTGCAGAGATGCATTCAGTTTTTGCAAATATGAATGTCCACATACTTAACCAGCTTAATATCAAGAAGTTAAACCCTGACTTTATACGACTGAATGCTCTCTCATTGAAACAGAATTTTTATTTTTTAAAGAGAAACAGGGATTTGAATGTTCGTTCTGTTCTGCTCGAAAATGAATGCTGCTGTTACTAAGACAATTACACGTTTTTCCAAAATTGGCTGGGAAAACTTGTACTATATCAATTCTGAAGTCGGTTTTTCCCCTTGATTTTATTTTTCCCCTTTTTTTTTTGCTTTCTTGTAGATGCAGCTGTAAAGACATGTTACTGGAGCACACTTCAGGGCTCACCCGACATCTTTAACTTCCCGGTGATACCGCCGATGTGCACCCCTGCTATTAGAATGGATCTTGCCATTGGGTCAAAGGTCATATGAGTCCAACTTCCTGAGGAAGTGAGGGAGAGGAAGCCACCCAGGCAAACAATAATATGCACAAAGTGTGTTAGTTTGCAGTCGGGGAGGCTAGTAGGACGGAGGGACAGTCTGTTCTCTCTTCCGACAACACGCGGTTTGTCGTTGCAGAAGAAAAAAAATAGTGGTTAACTTTACTCTTTTCTGACAACACTCAGTTTGTAGTAAGAGACGAAGAAAAAAAGTTGTTAACGGGACTTTTCATTGTTATGAAAGTTATTTCATCGGCCATTTGTTGCGGAGGGAATTCAGTGGGCTTCTAGAAGATCTGTAGGATTGGCAGTGGACGGACCCTCCCAAGCAACATGACTACTCATGAGGAGCTGGTTGCTGAGATGCCCTCGCTGGAGCGTCTGAGTGTACAGGACAGGCTTAAACTTGCACGCAAACGCCGGGCCCAGCAGCTGAAACGATGGGCCACCAGCGAGCGGGAATTCACCAAGAAGAGCCGCAAAAGTGCCATGGGAAAAGTGGGGCCAGACAGTCCCAGAAAGAGGAGGATAAATTTTGCCCCCAACATCCAGCTCCTGGAGGCTGCTGCCAGAGGAGACATCGATGAAGGTGAGATCAAAACTCTTTTTTCCTATGTAAATACTCTGTTCCCAATCTTTGGCTCCATTTGGGCTCCATACTGAACCCAGTAGAAAAACACACGGATGCTACCCTTCATTGGATAGCTCCATTCACACATGTACATATATGTATATGTGATCCACTCTGTGAAAATGAGTCTCAAGTCACCAGAGCCACTTTGGAGTAAAAAGTCCTTTAGAATAATTTTGCACAGTATAAATCAATAGGAACCCACAGCATTTGTCACCATGCAGTATCCACTTCCATCAGGATGCCAAACTGAGTGATACATCAAAACAAAAAGCTCCATTTGCTCTTTTGAATACAAATAAAAACTAAAAAAGTGGCTCTGGCAACTTAAGACTCCGTTTTGCAGAGTGAGTCACATGTACATGTGTCATGATTAGGGTTTTAGAAATGAGGCCAAAACTGTTCATTGTTTCACGTACAGTACATACAGGTACATGTACACTGAACTTGTTGAAGACTTCAAATATGAAACAGAAATGAACAATTGGCCAATATTTTACAGAATTTCCCCCGAAAAAGTTATCTGTGAGCAAGTCAAATACACGTTAGTGCAAGTTATGAACCTTGCTTGGGTTTGTTTTCTAGAATGCGTCAGAGTGCTACAGATGAACATGCAATGCATAGTATGGACTTTTTGCTATCTAGACTGATGGCAGCCATTCCTAATGTATCAAAATTGAGTCAGCATTGTCATTCTAGCCGGTAACCGTTCAAAATTGCACACATCCTGTTGTTGTGGGTCGAGAATGGTGAGGCATTGTCAAAGGTTCAGTGACGATCACGAGGAAAAGTACAGGCTTAAATATTGTACGTAGGAAAATGCACGCTGTCCTCGGTGATTAACATTTCATTTGTAACCTTTCCCTGCTCGTTCGGTTGATTAGTGCTACCTCAGGTAATGGTCCTTGTAGAACCTAATAGACACAACAGCTGCTGCTCAACCTGAAGAATATGGTGATAAAAGATCAAACTCATAAATGCAGGTGGACTCACGTTCTCAAACAAAGTACTTGTATATTTTTTGCAATGGTACCGTACAGTTTGTACAAGTGTAATTTGTGGAACATCAAAGTATCAAAGTGTTTCAACTTCAGCTGTATTATTCAAAGAGTTCCAATACAGATATTCAACATCCGTAAAGTGGATGTCTTAGAGATGATGGCTGTGCACTTAATCACCTTCCATGGTCATGGAGGTGCCTGGTACATGTACGGTACGTGTGGCAGATTCCCACATGTTTAATGCATCAACTTTTCTTGGAGCCCCAATTACCGTATAGCCCAGATTACGCTGGACGTCATCCAATTTGGGAGGATTTTTGCAAAGATGTTCAATAACAGGATCCAAGTTAATGGCAGGTTTTGTCTGCAAACAGATAAGATTATATCAGTGATTGAATTGAGAGATTAATGGACATTGAATACCATATCCTTGTTTAGGTCAATGCAGCACTGGTAACAGTTCAGGGCACTTCTATTCAAGCAGTTATTTCAATGTGTGTCGCCCAGTGTGCATCACATTTAAGTACAAATTATGAGGGAATGTGTTTGGCCGTTTTTTTAAACATGCATTTAAGACTGGCTCGGGATAATGGACGGGACTCATGCCCAGGCCACAAGCGAGGGCATCATCATCATCGTTCATTCTCCTGATCTGGTCTGATATATTAACCAACCAAGTGCATACATGTACATTTACCGGGTATTCCCATTCACAAATACTGTGTTAGTCAGAAAGTCAAAATAAGTCAAGATATGATAAAGAACCAAAGGGTTTGTTCTAAAGAATTGTACTTTCATTTTTGTGTACAGCCCATCCATTTCATTGGACATTTCATAGTCCAAAAGAATCTTCAATCTCCTTACAGATGTACATTAGGCCTACACCATCATGACCATCAGTCAACAGCTATTCATTTATACATGTACGGTACGTGTACTTCAGACAGTCTCCCTATTTAACAGCAGGCAACTTAACCGTGTATTAACATTTGATAATACTGCTGAGATGTGATAATGCCCGCTTCGTAAATCACATGTTGGCACATGGATACGAGAGAATTTAATCCATTCTGATTGGTCAACAGTCTTTGTGCACCAATTGGACAATTTGCTCAAGGAATATTCCATAAAGTGGACGGGGGGATTGGAGAAATTGAAAAATTCCAGAACAAAATTGCTAAAATCCATCATTTACATGTACATGTATTTTTACTTCTTTTGACTCTCAGACTAAAAAGGCTTAAAAGTATTTATGAAAGGGAATAAATATGTGCTTGGCCAGTATCAAACTAACATTTACTAAACAGGCCAAGCCCATATTTATTTCCTTATTAATTTACATGTACTTGTACCATAGTTTTACAAAATTGTAATATTTCACATATTCATTAACTGTACACCTGTCATCAGTGCTTCATCTCGTTAAGTGCAATCAATCCCACAGTGCATACTGTGCACTTATTGTTCAATATTTCCTCTGACCATCACTTGGCATGTTCATGAATACTTGTACCCATATACAATTGGAGCTAAAGTTCCCATGGTGCGTGTACACTGTAA